GGCAAAGCAGATCCAGAAATGCGAACAGTGCAGTCAAGGCTCCACTGCTCCGTCAACCCCTCAGCTCTGCTGGCCCCAGCTTGGCTTCCCGCCTGACAGTCTTTCTCCATGTGGTAAACGAGATGGCTGCTGACGGTCTCCAGCTAATACCCTCTCAGACGGGAATTCTAGCAGAAAGATGTCTCACTCCCAGAGCTCACAAATCAGTCCTGGGAAAGACTACAATTTGTCCCTCTAGGAGCACGTAACCATCCCCCCATCCTAAATCTCCAAACAAGTATGGGCTACTCCGATAGTTCAGTCTGAGTCACATCCACTCTGTGGCCTGGCTACCTTGGGGAAACAGGTGGGGATGCACAGCCCCTGGTGGTTCAGATGGTGTTTGAGAAGAGTTTCCCAAAAGAACCACAAAATGAAGAAATCACTGTGAGCAAACAAAAACATGCCTTTTAAACGCTTGGCAGTAACAATTAAAGTAACTAACTAGATACCTCCACTTTGCCCATGAAAAAAATAGAGGTTTTCTGTATTGGGCCTTTCTGATTGCCTTTCCAGGGTACTTTGAGAAAGTGGGGGAACTGCATCACTAGGTTTTCCATTTCAGAAAACCTGGGCCAGTGTCCTAACTTTGACACTAAAGAGCCCTATGAATATGGGGAAGACTCTCCTACTTTCTGGGGGGTTCTTAGTAGGAAATTAGATACGAGACCAGCACTCCCTACTCAGCTCAAAGGTTCATCTTTTGACTTAAAAAAAAATACTTCTTGCTGTGCCCTAATCTTCTCATCTAAGTGAGGGTAAAGGATTATCTCTAAAATAATCTAAGATAATCAATTTTTTAAAAAAACAGCAAATCCTAAAGCATCTGCAATCCTGATCCTGTTGGACGAAGTGTTGGTCCTTTATTGGACCAGAACCTGGTGGTCCGGAGTCAACGATAAGAAAGTAAGAGAGAGAAAGAATAAAAGAAAGAAAGAAAGACACGGGAACCAAAGCTCTGATGGAGCAAAGGTGTTTTAATAAACATGGTGTGGGCATATATACTGTCTTACAAGGTAGTTATTTCAGCAAAGATAAAGATTAAAATTCCAGACTTACAAAACATAAGGCAATTCCTATCAAAGAGAGAAAGTTGCAAACAATCACTTTTTACTGTATGATTCATAAAAAGGAAGAGGGTACTTATCACCGTAATGAGAAATGCCTGGATTCCTCAGCACTGGGAAAGGCGTGCCTCTCTTCTTAATTCCTGAATATTCAGGAATTAATAAGGACCAGAGGATTCCTGACAGATCCAAAACGGCACACAGGAAGCCTCCTGTTAAATGCTTCCTGACAGTTCCCCCTATTTTATTATATTTGTAAAAAAAAAAAAAGGTCCTGACCAAAAGAGTTTGGTTAGTATTAACCAACCTTATAGAAAGGCAACAATAAACAACAAATACAATTATCAAGACAATCACCAAAGTTACAGTTCCATACCCGATGCTGTGGGTAATACTTTGAAACCATCTTCGTGGGTCTAGCCTGGATAATTTGTTCAGCTAAAGTTTCCTAATTAGCAGAAGAGGGCAGACATTTAGAAAAAGTTTTAAAGATTTTCTTTTGCAGTAATTGTACATTCAGAGAGGCATTATCATTAAATGAAATTTGATTTGTTCCCAGCTGTAAGTACTATGATTGAATTGAACAGGGATATCTTCCCTGGTGGTTCAGACGGTAAAGCATCTGTCTACAATGCGGGAGACCCAGGTTCGATCCCTGGGTGGGGAAGATTCCCTGGAGAAGGAAATGGCAACCCACTCCAGTATTCTTGCCTGGAAAATCCCATGGACAGAGGAGCCTGGTGGGCTACAGTCCATGGGGTCACAAAGAGTCAGACATGACTCAGTAACTTCACATAACACAAAATTGGCAGTTAATTCAAGTTACAGAATGTAAAGTCTTATTAAATTGTAAATTTCCTCTGGCCATAACAAAAGGAAGTGGGACACAGGCCTATATAAAATATGACTGATTATAACAAAAGAAATAGTCACTATGACAACAACTAGTCCCTGTGAAGTGTCCAGTCCGAGTAGCAAGTTCTCTGGTGTTGGCAGCAAGTTTTTATGTTTTATATGTCTCATAGTTCAGGCCCAATTTGTTTATGGAGGATGATTCGAGGAGGAGGAGGAGGGTGTCATTCCACTGTCAAGCCAGCCAAGAAGTCCTTTGTCATGATAATGTTTTAACATAGTGTTAGTAACCTTTTAAGCCACTTAAGCATAATATATAATGTTTTTTGTTCTTTCCCTAACTCTTTCCCTAAAGTTTCAGTAGTAAACATGGTTCACAGACAGAGAAAGGGCAGCAATGTCCAAAAGTCTTCTTTTGGAGGGAGGACGAAAGCCCAAGTTTGTTGGCCGACATTTAGGCATAATTTTTCCTGGGCCCAGGCTCAGTGGAAGGCCTAAAGAAATGTTAATTAGTTTTCCCTCTTCCCCAGGGTGTGAGGGTTCCAGAGAGGGGGCATACGGGTGGAGTCATTGGTTGATACAATGGTCTTTTCTCCGTCCATTTTATGACCTGTAATAAAGGGGGGTTGGGTAAGTAAACCCAGTTAAGTCTGATTTGAAAATCTGGCTGGGGGGGGGGGGGGTCGTGCAGGTCAGATAGCGATAGGAAGGTTTTCAGGACTCTGAGGCATTTCTTGTTGAGAAATCAGATTTTTAACTTGATTAGTGAGGGTTTTTATTTGTCCCCAAGTGGGGAGATCATAGGGTTGATGTCACCGAGGGCAGTGCTTTCTGGAGATCTTTAAGCCGCCATGGCCCGTATTGAAGTTCTTCCTCCTAGGGTTCTTGTTGTTTCATCTCCATTTTGAATGTTAAGGGCCCCCTTGGGTCGAATTTTCTGAGGAAAAAGTTCGTTGGATCCATCTGGGGAAATACAAGCACATCCCTTTCCCCATAAGATTAGTTTCCCAGATTTTTACTGTTTATTGAACCCGTCTTGGTACCAAATGGGCAGAGGAAGAGAAGTATCCTTCAACTCCTCAAAATGCCTTTCTGCCCTTGTTAAAATATTTCCCTGTGGTAGGTTTAAAAACTTTAAAACAAATAAAGCTGTATTAACAATAATTATAGGTTTAGAAAATATCTTATGTTGGAATCTAGTAAAGTCTGCTTTTGATAAAGAAGACAGTAGTGTACCTGTGTATTCCCCCTTCTTTGATTTTTTTTTTATTTGTAACTTTAGTGTGTGATGTGTTTGTTTAACTATGTCTTGTGTCTATAGATTATAAGGAATATCTGTAATATGTTTAATAGAAAAAGATTGTAAAAATTGTTTAAAGTGTCTAGAAATATAGGCAGGGCCACTGTCTGTTTTAATAGAAGCTAGGAGTTTATGGTGGAGGTTTCTACATTTTTTAATACAAAAAATGAATATACAGAACCAGAGACTATATTAATGCGGTAAGGATGTGGGCAAATAACTTGAATAAGAGCATATAATTCATTTTGTTGAGCAGAATGGAATTTAGTGTAAAAGACTTATATTTTTTAAGAGACCAGAATGAAGCTTTGGCGTATTTAGTCCCATCTATATAAAAGAAATGTGAGAAATAATAAATTCAGTGTTTTTGAAGAAATTTCATTGCTTACCAGAAGGATAATGAAAGGAAATTCTTTTAAAAAATATTCCAGAAAAGCTATTTGAAAATTGGTAGAAGTTTGTAATGTGTTCTCAAATTGAGATTTATTTGTAATGAAATTTTATTAAAGTATAAAGGAGATAGAGAAAGCTTTTGACATAGGCATCAAAAGGGGGCAGAAAGAGTGCCCCCCCCCCCGGCTAGTCTTTAGCCAGGTGTCATATAACTACTAGCAGTCTGCTAATTAGAGAAAGGAAATGTCTCAAAACTCAGAGAATAGCACCAGGCCCCTCACTCACAACATGCATTTTGAGATAACCTTGGCACCAGCTGAGTTGTCCTGGGCCATAAAATGATTGACATGAATCTTGAAGAAATGCAGATTACCATACAAATAGTTTTGCTTATATAGATGAGGAGAATAATATCTGAGTCTAACATACTGGTTTGTCAAGTAGGTTCTGAGCCATTAGGCAGAACCAACTTGAAGATGGAGTCTGGGGTAAATGTATAGCACATTGGCATAGCTTCAGACAAACATTTCCATAAGAAAAATGCATTGGTTAACTCAGGGTTCTAGAATAGTTAACTTTAAGTGAAACCAGGTGTCATAATGCAACACAGTACTTTAAGAGAAACCTCTTTTTAAATTTGTATAGAGAAGGAAAAAAAATATCACTAGTTTGTTTCCTCCTACCGCTTAAGAGAGATAAAAATGTCTGATATTTGCAGCCTATTTTCTCCTTTTGGAGACCCCTGGCCTTCCCGCCTGTTAAATCAAACTACATCGGCCAAGTAAAAGACCGAAGGTTTGTGGGGGCAGGGGCCCAAAAAGCCCAGTAGGTATTCTAGAGGGGACTGCTTGAGGGTAAAGGAGAAAGTCATTTAGGGCTGGTATATCAATAGCAGCACTGCCGGATGTTGAGGGTTTGAGGGAAAAGATGGAATTTGCCCCTGGTTTCTGTTGAAGGGGACCTGGGGGGGTCTCCTGCTTGGAGTTTCCCAGAATAGGTTTCCTTTCAATATCAAATTTAGATTTACACTCTTTGGCCCAATGCATTTCTCTACGGCAGTGAGGGCATATTTTTGGAGGGTTTTTTTTGTTTGTTTGTTTGCTTTTACTTTCTTAGGGCAGTCTTTTTTTAAATGGGTCTTTTCTCCACATGTAAAGCACCTTTCATTTCCCTTTCTTAAGGCAGCAACCATTGTTTCAGCTAGCATTTGCATCTTTTGAGTTTCTGGTCTTAGATTGTGACAAGCCTTCAAATAATCCATAATAGTCCCTGTCTCACGAATTAGAGTTATAGCCTTTTGACATACTTGATTTGCATTTTCATAAGCAAGTAATTTCTCTAGTTGCCTTTTATCTTTTTCTCTGATTACAGTACAGGAAATAGCAGTTTCTAATCTTAAAAAAAAATTTATAAAAAAATAAATAAGTGATGAAGTAAAGTAGAAAAGTGAGGGGGCTTTCCAGCCAACTGACCCATGTCTTAGTACTTACCAGGCTCAATAGGGCCTGGGGGGTCACTCCATCTGAATCCGCCACGTGTACCAAGTCCCTGTTTCTGGGCGCCACTTGTTGGTCCTTTATTGGACCAGAACCTGGTGGCCCGGAGTCAACGATAAGAAAGTAAGAGAGAGAAAGAAAGAAAGAAAGACCAGGGACCAAAGCTCTGATGGAGCAAAGGTGTTTTAATAAACATGGTGTGGGCATATATACTGTCTTACAAGGTAGTTATTCTCAGCAAAGATAAAGATTAAAATTCCAGACTTACAAAACATAAGACGATTCCTATCAAAGAGAGAAAGTTGCAAACAATCACTTTTTACCATATGCTTCATAAAAAGGAAGAGGGTACTTATCACCGTAATGAGAAATGTCTGGATTCCTCAGCCCCGGGAAAGGCATGCCTCTCCTCTTAATTCCTGAATATTCAGGAATTAATAAGGACCAGAGGATTCCTGACAGATCCAAAACAGCACACGGGGAGCCTCCAGTTAAATGCTTCCTGACAATAAGCTTTCCAATCTCCCAAGCCAGATACTTAAAAATTCCATTGCTGGTGTTGCGGAAGGTAGAGCAGGGAAGCAAAAGCCTGTGTTCACAGAGCATGCCTGCATAAGTGCGTATGGGGGTGGTGGAGGCCCAGAGCCGTAAGGTGGGATCGCCAGGAAGCACTTCCAGGACCACAGCCCAATCTCACTACCACAGCTGAGGTTTAACGAACACCTCACCGTTTGCTTCATAGTTCAGTTCCTCCCAGTAAAGGACATTAGGACTGAAGGTCCCACCAGTATAGACAGCGTTAATCTCTTCTGGAGACAGCACAAAGTCCCACATGTTCACATCTCCGATGTCTCCCACCAAACACTGGTTTCTATCAAAGGCCCCAGCGAACGCATCCTGCTCCTGCCCCAGAATGATGCTGGCATCTGTCCCCAGAGAGGCTCCCTTCTGCAGACTCTTCCTCACCCGGGGTTTCCCGTTCACCCAGAGCTCTGCAATTCCAGAGGCAGACTCCCAGGTGGCACAGATGTGTGTCGGAGCATCAGTGTTTCCAGGACTCTGGAATAATACCTCCCTCCCACGCACACTAAAACTATAGCCTTTACCCTTAGGCCAAAATAGGAGGATCTCATTATATTGCTCCTTGGTGGCATAAGAGAAAATGCTGTAGTCGCGGATTGGGGCCAGCTCTGTGTAGAAATAGAGACACACGGTGAAGGCGGTGAGTGGTGTCTTTAACTGTGTTTTCAGGGATACGTAGGAATTATCCGACTCTTTGGGAAACACGAAGGCCTTCTTATGCAAGTCTGTGAGACAGAAAGCAGAGGAGAGATGAGAAGTTTCTCAGATCACAAAGATCTATTCCTGCATAAATAGAGTTTGGGATTGAGAAATAGACTGATTTTTCCTCAGTGTCATACACACACACAGACATACACACACTCACCCATGCTGGATGTTCCTCTGACCTCACCTTGTATAATCTTAGGCCCCACCCCCATCACTCAGATAAAATCCTTGGCACTGCCTGGAGTATCCCCTACCTGTCTGGCCCAAAACACTAGAGAAGCTGATCAAGACCAGGAAACACCACAACAGCCTCTCCATGGTCAGTCTCTGCCGCCAGTGCTTCGAGAATCTGGATTCACCCTTCTGGAGAAGACGTCTTTGGCTGAAAGCTCAGCAAGCAGAAGTCCTAGATTCTTTGCCTCAAGACCTGCTCTGCTCCACCCTGCCTGGATTTATATCCAAGGCAGTGGGAGCATCTGTGCCACCACGTAAATGATTTTCCAATATTACCTTTCTCAGCAAGTGTCAGGGCTCTGGAAAGAAGGGAAGCAAAATAATTCTGTAACAGCGGGATCAATGTTGGTTATTTATTACAAGCTCTTGTGACTATGGGATCACCAATTCTTCGTGACAGGAAAAATGGCAAAGCTCCCCAAGAGTTCCACTTGGCTATTTATCTCGAGAAAATTTTTTTAAAAATCTTAATAGAAGCATGGCCATCTGAGAACATATCATAGTGCATCTCTAGCACCCAGTTCAGCTCAAGTCTTGGTGTTTCATGGAGGATAGCTTCTGGAGATGAACATCATTGCCGACACTTTTCAGATGCCCCTGGTTCACAAATTGAGAAATGCCAAAAACAAACATGTCATCCACAGAGCCGAGGACAATTTTTTCTTAGCCAATTGAGTTTCATTGCAAAGAAATCACTGGTCCAGTGAAACATGTGCCTGATTATAAACGTACCACATGTCAGAGTTTCTTCATATCAAGGTTGAGGGAAGAATCAAGATGATGTGCCCAGTCCTTCAGTTATGTCCCACTCTTTGCAACTCTGTAGACTGCATCCCACAGTCCTATGGATGCATAGTGAATAGAAACTCTCTATGGACTCCTCTGTCCATGGGATTTTCCAGGCAAGAATAATGGAGTGGGTTGCTATTTTCTTCTCCAGGGGATCTTCCTGACCCAGAGTTCAAACCCACATCCTTTGTATCTCCTGCATTGGCTGGGAAGCCAATCTTACTATCACTTCAGTTCAGTTCAGTCACTCAGTCATGTCTGACTCTTTGCGACCCCATGAATCACAGCACGCTAGGCCTCCCTGTCCATCACCAACTCCCAGAGTTTACTCAAACTCATGCCCATCGAGTCGGTGATGCCATCCAGCCATCTCATCCTCTGTTGTCCCCTTCTCCTCCTGCCCCCAATCCCTCCCAGCATCAGGGTCTTTTCCAATGAGTCAACTCTTCGCATGAGGTGGCCAAGGTATTGGAGTTTCAGCTTCAGCATCAGTCCTTCCAATGAACACCCAGGACTGATCTCCTTTAGGATGGACAGACTGGATCTCCTTGCAGTCCAAGGGACTCTCAAGAGTCTTCTCCAACACCACAGTTCAAAAGCATCAATTCTTCAGTGCTCAGCTTTCTTCACAGTCCAAATCTCACATCCATACATGACCACTGGAAAAACCATAGCCTTGACCAGACGGACCTTTCCTGGCAAAGTAATGTCTCTGCTTTTTAATCTTACCATAGATCCCTATTTAACCCAGTCTTCAAGATGGCTATTTAGCTCCTCCTGTCTCCTCAGACCCCCAGAATCGCATCCATTCTTATACGCAGCAATCGCAGCTCTTTACTGAGAAATTAGAAGCAAACAGAAAAAAGCCACTGTATCTTTTGTAGCAGAGGCTTCTGACAGCTGCACGATGCCCATTCTCCACTTCTCACCCAGTAAGAACAGCACTGTTGGTTGAGCACATGGTCACCCCATCAAACACAAAACTTCCCAGCCTCATCTGCAGTTAGGAGTGAGAATGTGATTACATTCTAGCCAATGAGATAGGAACAGAAGGAATAAGGACATTCTCCAGGCTGTGCCCTTTAAAGACTTCTCTTGTGGTCTTCCTTTCCACTTCCCCCCTGCCTTCTGTCTAGTATTCAGACACATGATAATAGGAGCTAGAGTATCACTTCTAGACCACCATGGGTGAGAGGCACATTTGAGGTTGCAGGTAGATGGAGCCTAGATAATTCACAATGGAACCCCTGCATCAGCTCTAGACCAACTACCCCAACATTTACTTAAAGGAGATATACTGTCTTTTGTTAAATCAAAACTATTAATGTGATCTTCCTGCTATAAAATCCAAACTGATATCTTTACACATTCTCCCATCTCCAAATTTACCAGTTTTTCTGAATCTTTACTTACATACCCTGCCTCCCTCTTATGACAAAGGATGAATCCATATATATCTAAGGGCAACCTTTGTACTTCTGCAAAGGATCCCAGACCCTCTTAATCACTCAGAGTTTTGCTTCCATACGTATTCTATCTTTTGCATCATTAATTTCTTCATCTTTACTCAATCATTCCCAAAACTAGACAAACATGCTGTAATATATTTAATCTTTTACAGAAAGGAAAAAAGGGAGGAAGGATTCCACATGCCAAGCATCCCAAGATTCCACATCCCCTTCAGCTACTGTTCATTGTTTCTTCTCTCATTTACTGGAAAACTCCTGGAAAGGGTTTTGTGTACTGACAATCTCTGTTTTCCCATCTCCTGTTTTCTCCTCAATTCTTGCAAACAAGACTTTGGCCTCCACCACTCCAGCAAAATGAACATAAACAAAAATCTCTTCCTTGTCAGATTCAATCATTGATTTCTGGTTTGACTTCTCATCAACAACTGAGAACAACAACTATGTGCCAGAATGCTTGAATACTGGCACATAGTTTTTTTAAAAAAGTAAAATAGTTTTAAAGTTCTCTGGCTAATAGAAGTGGTCCTCCCTTTCCCCTCTCTCCGTCCTTGATTCCCAAGTGGAGCTAAGAGATGGCAGATCCTCCAAGGACATTGCTTGAGTCTCTCAATCTAGTCTTACTAGTTTCAACTCAGGTCTTCTGAAGTGAAGTCTATTAGTCAATATGCCCTCTTTTTACTTATCTTAGTTGGTTGTGTAATATTTATGTTTCAATGAGTTTTCACAAATAGAAATCCCCCTGACAATTGTGTGTCCAAACTGATTACTACTTGCCCTAAAATGAAATATCCAATTAGCATCCTTGCCACAGAAATCCCCCTCCCACCCCAGGGAAGTATAGGTTTTTATGGAAGGGGCAGCATTTAAGCTGAGACACAGGTAGGGAAGCAAGAGTTTTAAGACTAAGAAAATAATATGAGCAATGGTCACCACAAATTTCATTTTCTATCATTTCATTCACAAACTCCAAAAAAATTACTTGCACCTCTCTGTGCATGATAGTCCATTTTAGTGAGTCAATATCTTTTCAGTCCCCAAATTTATTGGTTTGCAGGACAAAATTCTGAAATATCCTTACTCCACAGATTGTACCAATTCAGTCTCTTATTTACTCTCTATAGTGGCTTATTAGTATATCTTTTCTACCTAATATTTCCCACTTACTAATCACTATTAGTATTACTGTTCTGTTTGCCAGCAAAATAATTACATTTGTATTTGTAAAGTATTACTGTCCCTCTCTGTTGCCACCATTCATAAAAACTTGCTAATGAAAGAATGTATAGAAAATTTGGCCCTGAGGTCTTTCAAAATAAGTGAGAGGCTTTCAAGGTTTCTTGAACAAGAAAATAATAGATCTGTGTTTGAAATTTTCATTGGTGGCAGGATGAAGGATGTATTGGAGTGAGAGAGATGGTAAATAGGGAGACCCCCTTAGTGGGTCTTAGTTCATTAGTACAACAAGACGCATGTTAGGAGCATTTGCCAGGTACCAGGCACTAAGCTAGCTAACTAGAAAGTTTTTACAATCATTCTAGACCCAATCCCAATGTGGCAAAGCAGGGTGTGTGTGTGTGTGTGTGTGTGTGTGTGTGTGTGTGTGTGTCTTCACACCATCAAATAATGCTTCAGTATCAGTTGCATGCCCTACAATTCAATCTTAATACTATCTCCCCCGAGATAGTATCAGATTCCACAGGTTAAGGATTCATTCTTACAAGACTGCCCCCCCAACCTTCCCTTCAAATGCCAATCTGAAGCCCAGGTTGTGCTACAGACCTGTTGGCTATAGAGCAGAGATTCCAACAATCTCCTCCACCCTGAGCTCGATTAATCTGTCAAAGTGGCTCACAGAAACATTTTACTTACTAGGCTACCCCTTAGTTATGAAAGGATATAACTCAGGAACAGCCAGATGGAGGAGATGCATAGGTCAAGGTATGTGGAAAAGTGAAGAGCTCCTATGCCATCTCTGAGCTCACCACTCTCTTCACATCTCCACATGTTCACCAGCTTGGAAACTCTGAACACCTTTTGGGTATTTACGGGGGCTTCATTACATTATTTGCCATTAGTGATTGAACTCAATCTTCAGCTCCTCTCTCCTCCCTGGAGGTATGGGAGTGGGACTGAAAGTTCCAACCCTCTAATCACATGGCTGTTTCTCCTGGTAACCAGCCTCTGTCTTTAGGTGTAGTCCACCTATTCACATAACAAAAGACCTTCATCACTCTCCTAGGGTTTTAGGAGGAATGTGGCACAAATGGGGACAAAGACCAAATATATACTTCTTACTACACATCATAGTACCACAGTCATGCTAAAGACAATAGGCACCAAAACTGAGGCAGAATCAATAAAACTACCAGAAGGGGAGACATTTGAGAAGTAAGTCAGCAGGAAAAATTATGGAAATGGTAACACTGATCAAACATAAAGCTAGAGAGCAGTGTTCTTTAATGGTAAATGCTATGTGAATGAGGTCAAGGTGGTTTGATTGTTAGTACACAGACTGGTTGGTTTCACTTATTTAGTGTTCAAACACTACAATTTTAAACTCAGTTAGGAATCTAGGAAAGATAACCCCAAGGTCAAGAAAAATTGTGCATGTGGATTGGTACAGCAACAGCATCTTCATTAGGAAAAAAGAGAGATGTGTGTGTGTGTGTGTACTCAGTCATGACTTTGTGACCCCATGGACTATAGCCCTCCAGGCTCCTCTGTCCATGGGTTTTCCAGACAAGAACACTGGAATGGGTAGCCGTTTCCTTTTCTAGGGGATCTTCTTGATCCAGGGATTGAACCCACATCTCTTGCATCTCCCGC